AGTAATGAGACAAGGGGACAGGTAGAGTTCAGATTTCGCTTGAAAACAAGGATGGACTAGAGACAAAATTACGAGATGGAATAACAGGGTGAATTTGTACATATTATGGAAGAGAGTTCAGGAGGTAAACAGTTGGGGTAAATAGTGAAGTAAAATTATAAAACAGATAAAATGATTTAATTTAGTAGATTTGGAACCGTAGCAGTTCAGCGAGTGAAAATCAAAATCAAGATTGAGTGGAATGTTATGCAACAGGACTAAATACGAAAGCCCACGAACAGAAAAATTATGGTTACCGGGTGGGGTAGTGGGAGATTAGTCACACTCGCTTTTCGTATTCATAGGTTGAGTGGAAGTCCTTTTATAGCAGTGGCTTCTGCCGACCAAAGTAACCATGCTTTTCCTTTTTTACTGATTGACCATTTTGAAAGCCTGACTAATTTCCACTGTTTGTCCCGTGTCAATCAGGTGTCTGGCAACTAAGCTTGAGAACACTTTGCTGCCTTTCAAACGGAAACTTTCAGGGATATGCTCGGAGAACCTAGTAGACGCTCGCCTCTCAGTCCTTCCTCTGTACTTTCTGCCTCAAGTGCAAGTCAATTGGTAAATGCAGTTGGAGTTGACATGACGAGCAGGATACTTATCTACTGTTGACTGGATTGACGAGTACACGGTGCTGCAGGAAATTTTATTTTCAATCCACCTTTAATTTTTTCCCGTTCTTATGGATACGTCTTCACCTTTGTAAGCTAGACAGATAAAAACTGGTTTCTTTTCAACTATTGCCAGTTTCAATCAAGGTGGTTTTTCCTTCTCATATTTCGATATGAACTCCCGATATTATCTATTTTTGAAAAGGTTCTTTTCTATGATTGCGAGTTCCTTCTATATCTTATCTTCTGAACACAACACCGTAGCTCTGCTGAAGATAGTTTTCACCAGGCTCGGTTTGTATCCTGTTAAGCAAAAGCTGTGATAATTCAAGTATTGGCCGGTCCAAGTTTCTTTCCTACATATAGATTTCTTCAATCGTCGTATCAATTCTTCTTTTTATTTTGAGATCTAGTGTAACGACAGAAAACAAGGGCCAGGCAACAGATCGTTTTTCTGAGAAAATCAACAAATATTTATAGATTCTATGTACATTATTATTGACGTTATTGTTAGCGGAGAAGCAACCTTTTCTCATTGGTTGTTTTCTTACCGAAGGTTATTTTGTATTGCTTGTGACCGTTTCTTAGGAAGTTAAGTCATATATCTGCGAATCGTATTTGCAAATGTTAAGTCCGCTGTGATTGGTTGGTGATTTCCTCAAGGTTAAGCTTTGTTATTATTGTTTTTTCTCATGACCTTGATTCAGGAAGAAAATATTGCCTGCAATTTTGCCTTACAGATAGCTCTCATCACACTAAGACGGGTTGTCACGTTCATAGTCTATTGTAAATGGTATATGAGGATGAGTTGCACTGAGGTTGTTGAACATCGTAAAAAGGATGCACGCAGTTGAAGAGAATGTACAAAATAAGAGGAGCTCGTATTATCCTACAAATGTCTTCGTTCTTTCTTTATTCAAAGAAACTCAGCTATTTAGTCAACTGTTCTGATGAGCAGTATAACTGTATAGAATGAAAAGTTAATTCTTATTTTGGGATAAGAATTAAGATCTGATCTGCCTAGTGTAGCTGAATGTACAGACTCAGAGTTTGTGCGTGTTAATACCTTAAGAAAGATGACTTAAATGCCATGTGAGCCTATCCGGATTTGTACCCTATTAAAACAAAACTTAAAATACCTTCAGAGCATCCACAGGCGGCCTAGACGTTTGCTTAATTAATATAAAGTTGGTTTAGCTTTTATGTGTTCTTTTTAGGCCTAGCTTTAACTTGACACCATTGGAAGGTGTACTACAACGTGTAGCCACATGCAAAACATATGATATGCTTATAGAATGTACGCAACAACACGATTGGGCAAAGTGTGGTTTTCAATACATAAACTATTGTGAATGCATTTTGACTATATTATAGTTTAAATTTACTAAGATTCAAAATTTGTCAGTTGTTTTGTCCCAGTTTGGGACTCCTCATCCCATACACATCCACGACCCTACTTTAAGATTGAACCTCACACCTACAGGTTCCAAACCACGAAGGGAGATGTTCAGTAGTGACACGTTGGCTAAGATGTCTAGTAGTACGCCCAATATAACTGTCACCGCAGGTGCAGTTGAATTGATAAATGCACATAGATGTGGCAAAACTATCAAGCTTATCCTTCGTTTGCGTCCCAATCATTCGTCGACTAGAGAATGACAAACATAGGTGTACTGCATAAAATGTTCTTCGTATGCTCCTTGAAAGTCTTTGAAATAGAATCTCACTTGATAAGTCACCATTAATTGTAACTTAATAAATAGAGGTTTTTTACGTTCAGTCACAGTCTCAGGTTTTCTCTCAAATGTTTTCATATGCTTCTTTATGAAACTACTCGGATAGCCCATCTCCGTCAAGGAATCGTGAAAATATTCTAATTCCTTTTGTAAAAGCTCATCCGTACATATCTTTATTGCTGTGCTCGTAAGACATTTAACAACATTTCTTTGATATTTAATGGGCACGTAACTAAGGAAGTGTGTGTATTGCCCTGTGAATGTGCTTTTTCTATACACGCTTCTCCCAAGTGACTCATTTTCTCGCCTACTTAGCAAGACATCGAGAAAATGTAGTTTATTATCCTGCTCATTTTCACAAGTAAAAGTAAGCGAAGGGTGGTTGCTTTTAAAAATTTCATGAACAACTCGTTAATGTTTACATTCCCAGCAGCTAAGATAAATGCATGTACGACAATGCTGCATGCCAAGTAATCCACAACGCGAAACTTACGGAATCCTTCGAAGTGAGGACAGGAGTAAGACAAGCTGGCTGCCTACTATCGCCAATGCTTTTCCTGATTGCAGTAGACTGGATAATGCGACAAACAGTGGGCAATGAGGAAACAGGCATAAAATGGACTCACACAAAAAAGCTGGAGTATCTGGACTTCGCCGATGATATATGTCTGATTTCCCACAGATTGGAAGATATGCAAGTGAAAAGCAACAAGTTGTCAGAAGAAGCATCCAGAGAAAATAGGACTTCAGGTGAACATAGAGAAAACAGAGGTGATGAAGATTCCTGGGTAACACCACCAACAGCAACAACAACAACAGACAACAACCAGCTTAAATGGAAGGAACCTGAAAGAAACAACCTCTTTTACCTACCGACCTGGAAAGCATCGTTTCAACTACAGGCGGAACTGACGAGGATATCAAAGCAAGAATCGGAGAAGCAAGACAAGCTTCCACTACTCACGTCAAGTCTGTGTGGAGGTCAACAGCACTCAGCATGAAAATTAAAATAAGATCCGGATTTTCAACTCCAATGTGAAGTCAGTCAGTGCTACTCACTATACGGATCAGAGACTTGCACTGCGCGTCATAAAGAGCATCTCAAACAAACTACAGACCTTCATTAACAGTTGTCTTCGCTCAATACTCAAGATCAGATGGCCAGAAAAGATCACCAACAAAGATCTGTGGGAGCGAACCAACCCAGCAGGAACCGATTGTGAAACAAATAGGCAGGAAGAAATGGAGATGGGTTGTGGCCATACTCTGAGGAAACCATCAAGTGAGTGACATCACTAGACAAGCCATTGGTCGAGTGGAACCCGAAAGGGAAGCGGCGAGTTGGTCGTCAGTGCAAGTGTGGGGTGACTTGGAGGAGGTCATGTGAAGAGGAGATGAAAGCGTGTGGGCGGACTTGGAGCCAGAGAACTGAACGCAGTGGAGACGCACGGCTGAAGCCCTATGTTTCTCTAGGAATTAAAGGAAACAATAATAATAATATCAAACTCCTTGATTGATGATGTCTTTCAATTTCCCGTTTATTCAAGTTTTGCTAAAAGGAAGAAGTCCGCTATTATATTGAGCCTAATGGTGAACCACCCATAGCTATTCCACGTATCTATCGGTAGTATCAATTATTGAAGACAAAGTGAACATTCATTATGGGAGAAAATTAGGAAAACTATAAACAGAAATCAAAATAAACAACGATATGCACTTAAGAAGAAGAATAACAGGAAAAAGGATGAGGAGGAGGGAATCTAAAATTGTCATATGATGGGTTATTCATTACCGTGTTCATAAAATAATATATATATATATAAACATAATTACCAGTCCTTTTGTGTGTGCATACAATGAAAATTTGTCATTCAACCAATCGAAATTCATTAAAAACTGTGTGCTAAGCACACACAAATAAGAGAAAATTGTCCACACGGATTTGTGCGTTAGTTAATACATCTCTATCTGTGTGAAACGAGTCACTCTGACTTGATGAATATGTCTAAATAAGGCTCTCTCTCTATATATACATGTATATATATGCCTATATACCTATTTATGCGTTCGTACTGTGTTCCACTTACCCACAATATGTTTATCTGTCTATACAAGAGAGCAAGGAGATATTAAGATCAATTCTTCAGTAGAAGACGACATGTCTAAGACGAAAGTATCTCTTGAAGGCACACATCATTACATTACATGAAAAACAACAATTAATAATCAATGTAAACACAGTTCTACAACCCCGAAAAGTGAATTACTAATCATTGTACATGAACACCACTCAGATACTACAGAAAAACGTTGTTTTTTGCTTTTTCGTCTGACAGAGAAATGAGTACAGAAAAACACTCTAATTAACTATGTTGTAATGTAATATATATATATTCAAGCATTATGAGGCTACTCTTCAGCACAGCTTTCCTATTGCTTATATTTGCCTCAATACTTGTTACGTCATCACTTTCAATCATCATCATCATTATCATCTAGTAATCATTCTGTGAATAAATCACTGGATACGGTTGGAGCACCAAGAAAATTATTACTTGAAATCGCCTGTGATATATTACGTCCTTGTATTAAAGCAACATGGTTACCCCCAATGGATATTATGCCGAAAAATGACAATGCAGATAAGAGCAAACTGCTTGCCTATAATATACGCTATCGTGTAATCCATCCTGTCCAATTATCTGAAGACAGTATACTCAGGAAAAAGTTGGCCAACAATTTTGATGATAGCAATACAACTCCATATCCTAAGACAATTGAAAAAAATATTACTGGATTACAGTATACTAGTACTCCTGGGGAACATTGTAAGTTGTGGAGTGTTTTGTGAGTCACTTAACGTTGAAATAACTAGGCTTTAACAGAAAGAATGGGGATTTTTTATTTCAAAAGGATGGTTACTGAACAAAGAATATTCTTTTCGATAACCTGCTCTTCTTCATCAGGTTCTACAGTTATGTATACACATAATAGTGAATGAATTAGTGTTATTAACAGCATAAATGTTTAAAGAACATCAAGTCAATAATAATATCAGTGGATTAGAGTTCAATAGCATCAACATAACACTGCCCTAGTAGTGTCTAGCTGGACTCATTTCTTCCGCACACAGAACACTGGTTGTCTGAGGTGAATCGCTATAGTCTGGATGTGTTTGTTAATTTGTTTGGTACCTTAAAGATGATGGATAAGAATTCTTCAATGTCGGCTTTATGACTGGTTTGGATCAGGTGTTCTAATATAGAGCTATTGATGCTTCTCAGCACACCTTTATTTAACCACACTGGTAGATGCTCCCAAGTGAGCACGAAAATCAAGTTCCTAGACAAACGGTCAATATAACACGCTACAGCACAAGCCCAGTTAAGTTGATAGATACAATTAGAAGAAGCGGTTAGCTAATCGCGGTACTTCTTCTTTCAATCGAAGAATCACCACCGATCGTATAGAAAACATGACTTTTATTTCATCAGCATTCAAAGTTCTTTGAACAGGTGTTCTTAACTTGTTAGTGATTATTTCGCTAGGTGCGTCACCCTTGAATTACAGTCGTAATTACAAAAGTGATGATGTAGCTATCAAAAAGAATATTCTTTGTTCAGTAATCATTTTTTGAAAAAAAATTTAATGAGCATTTTTAATCAAATCAAGTTGTTTTTTTTTGAAAAAAACTGAAATAGTTTGGTCACGAAATTGTTTGAGTTAGAGAATCACTGGACACCAGAGAGAGGGAAGGGCAATTTTGTTGGACATATGTTTAGTCCTCATTTGGAGCTGTTCAGGAGTACGCAATCATGACCCTACGAGGGACACTAGTTAGTAACTAGTGTAATGTGTCTAGTCCTATCTTCGGTGCACACTGAATTCTGTCAATGAAGTTTCCAATATGGCCTCCATACTGCTAGATGGCTCGCCATCATGGTGCACTTTGAATTGTTGACATTAGATGGTTGGAGGCAACCGGCAGGAAGCCTTGGACACCACTTTGGTTTCCTGCTAGCTGGCAGTCACCAGTCAGTCAGCAAAGCATACCTGCAACGCCCTTGAAGGAACTCATGTCCTTCTTGAGATTCGAACTCGCTTCACCCAGTAAGTGCTGCAGTCAGAGACGTTACCGCTGAATCTTGAAAGGGATATGAGTTCCTTCAAGGTGGTTGCAGATACACCTTAGTGACTGACTGGTGAGTGTCAACTAGCACGAAACATAGGCAATGTTCAAGCCTTCCTGCTCATTGCCTCCAACTATCTAATACCAACGATTCAAAGTGCACCGTAATGGCGAGCCACCTACTGGTATTTTAGTCACATTGCAAACCTGACTGATAGAATTCAGTCTGCACCAAACAAAGGACTAGATGCACACATTACACTAGTTACTAACTAGTGTCCAATCAGACGTTTTATCTTTTATGGAATTTACCTGAATTTGAAAGATTTAAGTCTGTCAGATATATTCTAAAGATTTTATAAGGGCCACTGGGATTGGCGCCAAGCAGACTTATTTTCACATAACTTTCGACTGTCATGCAATAGTAATTACTAAAGAAGGTGCTGGCAGAGACAAATTTTCTTCCTCTATTTCTTATTATGAATTTCTTGCTTTTCCAGCTGAACATTGGATTTCAGCAGTAGACTTCCATTTCACTTAGTTTCCTGCAATCAGTTTTAGTTGGCTCGACAATTGCCCACATGCTTTCATCTCTTCCTCACACAGTCTCCTCCATGTCATCCTAGAAATGATGACCAAATCACCATTTACCATTCGGCTTCCCCTCGTGGGCGTAACGAGTGATGCCATTCACTGGTCTCCTCAGTATATGTCCAATCAATCTCCATTTCCCCTGGTATGTTTGTTGGGCGATAGGTTTTTGGTTGCTCTGTTGCTTATCCTTTCTATTCACTTGATTCTTAGTAATAATCGAAGATGGGTGTTAACGAAAGGCGTCATCTTGCTGAAAGTATTTTCCTTGAAGCACAGATTCTATGAATCATTTAAAGCACCCACTGACTTGATATTAGTCTTGCAAGCTTGGATCCTGCTCTTTCTACCTCATCGACATCAGAGTAATGAAGGTTTGTCTTGCTTTTCCGATTCAATACTGACTGGCTTTTAAATTGTTATCCACCTACCTATGTTTGATATGAAGCTGTTCGGTTAGGTGAGGAAGAGAGAGACTACTTTCTTTAGATTTCCCCCCTGAGTGGTTGTTGCTGTTTGCTGTCTCTCTTCTCTGTGTTCTCCTGAAGTTTTGTCTGCATTTCCTTGCCCGTTGACTTATCAGCTTTCAATTTTATATCTTCGATTTTGTGGGACATGGAACTAGAAATTACGTCGTAATGACTGAAAGATGCTAATTTCCGACTTTACATGACTGAGTCACTTGCTATCATTTTATTTTTTACATATTTTCCACATATCTGCCAGAAACAAGTTAGATATTTATATCCTGCAGGAGAATCTTAAGACTTTTGAATGGTTCTTGGAAATTTCTACCTTTGATAAATTCCTGTGCTACCTTCAGTAGCCAGCTGGTTCATAACTTTCTTACTGAGTGTTGAAATAACGATACCTTGTTAGTGTTGTAACGGAATTGTTTAAGATGGGAATTTAATAATGATCATATGTAAATTATCATTACATACTACTTCTAGAATAATAGTAGTGCCTTAGTTTCTTACAGTCTTCTTTGAATACATACTACTTGCCTGACTGACTTGGTGGTTTTAGCCAAGCCATTTTTATGTATCACTGTTATCACAGATGTTTTAGGTTTGAGAATGTGAAATGTTTCCATATCATAAAATAAAAGTCACTCTGAGGGGATAGAATTGTTTTATTTCGATTGGACACTAGTCAGTAACTAGTGTAATGTGTGTGCCTAGTCCTTTGTTTGGTGCATACTGAATTCTATCTGTCAAGTTTTCAACGTGGGCACCATGTCTCTAGGTGGCTCGCCATCACGGTGCACATTGATTTTGATGATATTAGGTGGTTGGAGGCAATCGGCAGGAAGCCTTGGAGACCACCTAGGTTTCGTGCTGGTTGGCACTCACCAATCAGTCAGCAAGGCGTGTCTGCAACCTCCTTGAAGGAACTCGTGTCTCTTCTGAGATTCAGTGGTAATGCCTGTGACTGCAGCAGTGGGTGAGGCGGGTTTAAATCATTGAAGGGACATGAATTCCTTCAAGGCAGTTGCAGATACGCCTTGCTTACTGGTGAGTGCTAATTAGCATCAAACCTAGATAGTGTACAAGGCTTCCTACTGATTGCCTCCAACTATCTAATATCAAGTATTATTTTATATTGCGCGTATGCCTAGACAGGTTCAAGAACATTTACCAACCTGTTTCACACACAGGGTGAAATAAGGTATATAAAAAGTTCAATTTTACCACACTTTATAGACACACGACGTTGATTAAATGCTGATACAGTCTTCAAGGTAATACGTCACATTCCACACTTCTCTTACGTCTTCTGCACACACCTGGAGCTGATGTAAACCAGGACTTTATGCTTTAAAGGATCAAACTCAGACATGTATAATGTGACTAAAATTACAGCGAAATCTCTCCTCCCCTACAAAGGTTTATTTTCTTCTCATTTCTCTATTTTTATGTTTTATTCCAAACAGGTTTAGTCACAATATTTATAATTTATACCTTTCACTGTAACATTCTTCAAACACTAATTAGTATTCCATTAAAGTAGGCATTAACAAACTATTCTCATTTTTTATTAATGACACTATTTCCTTTCTCAATAAATGACTCTGTCTGGTTCATTTCACGGTAAACTATACTCAAGAGCTGATCAGTTTTTTTCAAGTTTGGACCACGGATTGATGTCAGTTAGAAAACCATTGAAAACCAGCATTGGAGTACCGGACAGTCGGCTGTTTCATCCTAGTTTGCGAATCATCGGCATTAAGCACCCACCACCATGGTGACCTGCTACAGGATGGAGTCTTATGGAGTTGTAGTGAGAAGTCATGACCAGTGAGGTCCATCCAGTCAAGTGTGAGGATGGATGTCCCGCCGATGATATTGGTTGGTGGTCGCGCTAAATCACGAACTGGTAGAAGTTAGAATTCATGGGTCTGTGATTGAATCGGGTCCCAGTGGCTGAATGGTCTACGAGCTAGCTTGTCTTGTAACCGGAAGATGCTGGGTTCAAACCATGGTGGTGGGTGCTTAATGCCGATGATTCGCAAACTAGGATGAAACAGCCGACTGTCCAGTACTTTAGAGCTGGTTTTCAATGGTTTTCTAACTGGTATCAAACTCGTAAAAGCAAATTTAATCCTTCCAAATTAACTCTTGAAAATTTTTTATTAATTTTGAATTTGATTATTTCTCTTGGATGTTGAATTGGGTAGTGCAAGCATCATGAGAGTGAGGAATTATAATTCGATAGATGTTGACATTTCCAGTAATATTTGAGTTATCAGAGATCCTCTGAATGACTCTCATGAATAGTACATTAGTCATAGGCTGAGGGCGAATACTGGGATGTATGAATGAACTCCTCTTCGATATATAGTCGATATTTTTGTTGGTGTTATTTTGATTATCTTCGCAGTTTCAACAAAATTCTAGTACACTCTTGAAAAACACTTTCTTCATAAGTTTCGATAGAGAAAGAAAGACCAGATCGGCAGTATAAAATGATATCATCATTCTATTTCACAGGTTCTCATCAGCTGCAGACCACGTGAAATGACAATGGTTATATAGATGATAATAACATTCTTTAACGTTTAAGTGGTAGTAGAGAATCGATACTATAAAATTGACGCATCCAAAA